AAGTTTATTTGAGCAAAGTTATAAATGTGCGACAAAAGAGCTCCATTGTGAACCAATTTAAGTGTGAGTATTCCCATGTTCTCAAGTTAAACATCGTTCTCATTGGAACCGCAATATATCTACTTTAGTTAGTACTTATAAAGTAGAGTATCTTTGAATTGGAATTGATTTGTACTTAATTTTCTATTAAGTCCAATCATTTAAAATTGACATTTGTAGATTTTGCCTCTAACTTCTTATTTTCCTATTTTATTTCATTTTTGTTCCAATTTTTTTTTTGAAGTTCCGAAAAACTAGGAGAGTTGGTTGGTAATGTCTTCCATTTGAGTTCAATATTTATTTTAAGTTGGCAATTTTTCATTTAGAAAAAAAATGTACGTAGTATACTATTAACTATTAATAATGTTTATAAGATTGTCAATTCATATATCAATATTCCATTAGGACAATACTATATGTGTGAAAAATAATATCAAGTAGCCATCTACTTCTACTAAATTATTGATAAAAAATAGAATAAAGTAGAGAGCCCATTTGGTGATCTTTGTTTTCGACTTATCAACCTTATTCGCCATTTTTTTCATAAACGATGTAACTTTTAATTTCGATCATTGGATTGTGTAATAATCAAAATAAATAAGGATGAAGTCACTTTTTTGACTGAATTGGTTGAAGTTAATGCGGATAACCATTATACCTATTTAACATGTAATACTTTTTTTAATTTAATTAATATTTTTTTCATAATTCAGCAAATTCAACCAATTTAGCTGTTTTAGCAAAAATTTCATCAGTTTCAATAAAATCGACTTATTCAGTCAATTTCAGTGTTATCAACCAGTGTTACTATTAAATTTCAGTGTTACTATTTTGAATTTTAATTTTAAATAACATCCAAAGGGCATATTAATTAACCGTGTCGGTTTCTCATAGTCCGGATTAAATATCATGTCTCATTAGATAATGTCTAATAAAGTAGACAATGTCTCAATTAGATTTGAATTGTACAGAATTGTACAGATAAAGTAGATAAAGTAGGTAATGTCTCTTGATTAAACTACTTTAGCACTAATAAAGTACATAATGTCTCAATTAGACTTGAATTGAACAGAAATTCAATCATTAAATTCACATTTACATATTTTGCAATTATTAATTATTATAATTAAATATAGAGAATCGTAACACTAAGACAAGTAATCAAGTCATAATTAGACTTCGCGTTAATTATTATGTTATTAAAAATCGAGTTAGATATATTATCATTATCACATAATGGTCAAATCTCACCATGAATTTTTAATATTTTTTCATTTTAATTGGTGTTAAAACATCATCTCAGTGTATATCATGTGTTAGCCTACAAGTCTATAAATATATTATTATTCTTATAAATCTTTTATTCCACAATAGTATTTAGCAAATACGGTGATGGCTAGGGTTTGCAGTAGAGGAATCTTCATGATCTGTTCAACCAACAAATAATTACGAAAAGTGCCTGAATCTGGAGGATAGCTATTGTAATTGGGTCGGTCTTCGTGTTCTGGAGGAAGAAAGAAGAGGAGGAGGGGGGAGATCCGGAGGAAGAGATGAAAAAAGGCCGGATAGCGGCCGCCTCCGCTGCACCTTGTCATCATCAGCCATCGCCGACGCCATCTTTGATGATTTGCACGGAGTAGAGCCACCAAGCTCCTCTGTTTCATTGCGGAAGAAGATCGATCGAAGAGGAATAAGTTGATGTTAGACGAGAAAGAGTGTAAGCCCTAAATGGAGGGAATACATTACACCGAGGGTAAACACGGAAAGTTAAAAAGCAGCCTTCTTAATACAGTTCAAATAAAACTCACGACTTAGAAATAAAATACGTAAGTCCTAATTTTGTAAAGTTGCTATGATTTGGTGGGACGAAATGCAAATTTCTGTTGTTAAGTGCTCCATTATACCCATGAGTAATTTATAGCCAAATAAATACTACCTCCGTCCCGCAAAGAAGTTCTCACTTTCCTTTTATGGATGTTCCAAAAAACGTCCCGCAAAGAAATTCTCACTTTCCTTTTATGGATGTCGCAAAAAGAAGTTCTCAGTTCTACAAAAGGAAACCACTTTTAATCAAAAAGTCACAACTACCATTATTTTTTACCCACTTTTTGTTTGATTTGACATAAAGTAAGGGTATACTTGGAAAGTCAAAACAAAATTCTATCTTACATAAATATGTGTGTAGGTCAAACTAGGAACTTCTTTACGGGACGGAGAGAGTAATAACCGTCTTAACTGGTAATGAGCATAACTATGAGTAATATATTTGCTTTAATGGATCATTAATCATATAATGGGAAAAATTATTATCATTATAGTTTAGATATTTTAATATTTTATCTTTGAAGATTATTTCAATTTTATATTAAAATTAAAACATAAAGTTTACTGGTATGTGTGTGCGTCATTCTATATATGCATTTGCAGATGTACTATTTTCAAATCTTATTTTTCCACGTATTAACCTATATTAATATGAGATAATCAATTTTATCATGGCTTCAAAATTGTAAACCGTAAAATGAAGTTTAATATCTATGTTAGTACCGGTTAGGGGTGGGCATTTCGGTTTTCGGTTCGGTTTCTTCGGTTTGGGTCGGTTTCGGTTTAATTGGTTTGATAGAAAATGTACCAAATACAAACCGATTAAGTTTCGGTTTGGTTTCGGTTTGATATGGTTCGGTTCGGTTTGGAGTTCGGTTTACCATAGTATTAAAGTTTGGATTGAAATAAAAAAAATTAACTCAAAATAATGAACCAAGAAGCGATAGTAATGAACCAAATATAATGTTAGATACAAATTTGCAAACAGTAACAAAACACATATGAACCAAAAATATATAAGCATGACACATTGTAAGCAACAACAACAACATGAATGAATAAAATTATATATAAAGCCGAAACAAAAATAAAACCGGTACTTGTAAGTAATGAACCAAATAAATAGTAGTAGTAGATAATAAATTATAGTTAAAAAGGGAGTACTATCTACTTAAACTACTATAATTGTTATAGTTGTGAATGTAACTCTTGTAGTAAACTCTAGTCCTGGACAGTAAAATTAAAGAATTAAAGCTTCAAAAAGATTAACATCAATCAAATTAATAAGAGAAATCTTATACATTGGTTTGGTTTAGTTTGGTGTAAGTTGGTTTTGATTTGCTATTTTAAACAAAATAAGAAATTTATTCATTTTTAGATTAGTTCGGTTTTGTTCGGTTTTATACAGTTTTATGATTTCGGTTTGGTTTGGTTCGGTTTAATACGGGTTGGGAGGAATACTACCAAACTCAAACCAAATTACAAATGGTTCGGTTTCGGTTTGGTTTAATTCGGTTTGGTACGGTTCGGTTCGGTCAAACCGAACCGTTATGCCCACCCCTAGTACCGGTACAAACGATAACGAGGCAAATAAGAATTGAACACATGCATTTAATTGTATTCACCATGCATGAAAATATCTTTTTTTTATTAACCCGGTAGATAAACCACTCATCCGTGGGGTAAATGTCGGAGAACATTTGCCATGTTTTATTTATAAGAGAACAAATAAAAATGAAGAGGAAGACTACACCAATACTTCTTCAGAGCAGACACTCCTCCTCGAAATACAATGAATAAAATTAAATGCAAAAAATTGGAGAGGCTATACCTGACCCAATTTAACGTAAAGAAAAACAAAATAATGAAAATAGAGTGGAATTAGACCAAAATTAAACCTCTCAAAAAATTAGAGAAATCTAGAAAAGGAAATATCATAGGCATCCGTAAAAAGAGCATTTTTTTATTACAAAGGGAAGCTGAGTAATATTAGAAAAGGAAATAGAAGTTAAAACCATTCATATTGATTTTTTTCAAGAGAAGAGCGGACCAATTTCCTTCTCGATATGTATGTCTGAGACTTCTCTGCTTGTCCTTAAAATAGCATTTCAGCTGCTCCACAAGATTCCTCCATCTACCGCCTCCTTCTTTTCACTGAAGCACATAGATAGATAGTCGCTTTTGAATCAATTTCAACCTCAAAATATCTTTGCACTCTAATTGCTTCATTATCCTAGAGATAGTTTTCAACATAACCATAGCTGCGCCCCCTAACGAATTACAAACATAATCACATGTAACATTTGTTTAAATGAATCATTGATTTTTAATAGAAAATATAATTACCATTTAAATTTACATATTCATTGTATTATCAATAAAGAAGTTTTAGTTTTGAAATAAAATATAAAAACGACTTTTCCTAAAATGTGTGTTCGAGTTTGTATGTATTTTCATATTTGTACCTTTATTCACGGGCAGGAGCAGGAGCAGCTAAACTCACTGGACAGGGGGGGGGGTGTGGGGCACTGGCCAGGGGCGCCGGCAATCACTGGTTGGGGGCGACGTCAATCACTGTTATGGGGGGTGACAACAGTCACTGGACAACGTGGCATCGACCATCACTAATTGGGGGCGGCGGAAGTCACTGTACGAGGTGGTCACTATTTGGTGGTCTAATTCCAGTCACTAAAATTGCAAGTCACTACAATGAGAAACACCTAATCACTACATATTGGTCATATTTTTGGGATCTTAGTTATGTGATCACTATTTTTCGGCTTGGGAATATGATGGAATAAAGAAAAATGATTCACTAAATTGTCTGCGCAATTTTCGATGTGATTCTCACTTTGGATCATCTGGAAATAGCCTCTTTGTACTTTAGTACAAGGGTAAGATTGCGTACATCCGACCCCCTTACCCCACCATTGTTGAGAACCTTTACAGCACTAGGATGATGATGGTTATGTGGTCACCTTTTTATCTTCAAACATGTATTTAGTAATATTCATAAAATAAGGTCATTATTTATGTGACTTTTTCCAAGTCATATTAGGCACATTTTTTGTCAAACATAGATTGCTAGATAGTTGGTGATAAACTAAATAGATAATAATTAAATTACATGGATGAAAGAAAAATTGCAGACTTAAACAAAAAACATTATTTAAAGCAACTAAAAAGCATTTAATATTTGAACAGTCGTAACATCCAAGTCATGCAACTTCGACCTATTCATTTAGCTTAATATTTAACTACAATGGACGTCAATACACCTCAAATTTCCATGAAAATGGTTAGGAGTTCCATATGGTACAATTCGTCCGAAATCAGAACGGCAAGGTGAAAATATGATGAGGACTAGAATAGTGGTTACTCAGTTCCGGCTAAGCCAGACAAGCTGGTGATCACATCTTTGAGTTTACAAATTTGCTTCAAGAACTTTTCGTGAATTTCCATGGAGTCCAGTTGGTTCCATGTAGAAAGACTATCTCCCATAACCTTCAGACCATTCTGTAGTAGTTCCATTCCTTCACCAATCCCATCTGGCAATTTTCTTTTCCTGCTGCTTTGTAGTTTCTCATTATCAACCTCCATTGGTTCACCACATGCTTTTATTTTCATGGTGACCATCTCTTTCAACGCTTGTCCCTCCTTTCTGAGCATCGGGAGCAAATTTGCATTTGGACTCGACATCTCCTTCTCAAGAAAGACTTTTAACTCCGTCATAAACCTCTCTTCTTCTGCTTCAATCCCTGAATCCAAATCGAACGATAGTGCAGCATCTGGTGGCACATATTTCCATAGCTGGTTACAATTTGTACGTGCTGCAAAAAATCCAAAAGCTGCCATTGCCAAGTGAATGAAGGCCCAATGCCTCTCTCTTAATAGCATATGATATAGCTCCCTTACAGCAACACTCATTGCAGTATCTTCTCCATCTGCCAAATTTAAGTAGCCAAGACTAGCCATGAAGAATGAAAGGTTTGGTTTGCATAGAAACAATCGACTATCTGATGGGCTCGAAATGAAAAGGTTCTGAAGCTTCAAGATGACACCTTCCATGTCATCAGACGAATACACATTTTTTATCTTGGAGACGATGGTTAAAGTTTCACTCAGAAGCCTTCTATAACCTTCCTTTTCTGGGCAGTCCATTGAGCTATTGAATTTTTTAATCACAGCTACTAGGAACTTTAAACTCTTCATCTCAGTGTCAGATATATTGACAGAACTAGAAGACAAATGAACAAACCATACAAAAAAGTTAAGAATGTAGCCTCAAGAGAAAACAAATGTGTGTAGACCCACGCACATATAGGATTTTTCCTTCTACTAATTAAATACCAACTAGCCAAAAGAGTTGATTATAAATTTTAGGACACAAGGGTTACCAACACAGTTATCAACTGACTACACTAGCTAGGTAATTTAAGTTTTGGTAATTGATCATGGCCAGTTGATCGATGTATCTATAGTACTTTAAAGAAGGGCAGCCCGGTGCATATTGACGTCCCTTCAAGGCCAGGGCCCGAGGAAGGGTCCCACCATAAGGGTGTATAAGGACCAAACCTTCCCATGTCATTTTGACAAGCATCAGTAATACTTATGTTCTAAAATTAAAAATTAACAATTTCTCCGATGGGTATTCAATTTGTACAACAACAACATTCAAGCTTTAATCCCAAAAGATTTTGGGGTCGGCTAACATTACTCGAACCATGATAATGGGTATTCAATTTGTACGGAGTAATATTTAAGGATTTTTTCCTGCATAATTGAAAAAACAATTGATAGAGCAAAAATTTGCTTTTGGGGTCGGCTAATAATCATTTGTTTTATAAAATTTGGGGTCGGCTAATAATCATTTGTTTTAGGGAAAAGAGGCAAATAAGGTCACGTACTAACCAAAAAAGGTCAAATAAGGCCTTATTTATGAGGCTCTGTCCGGCCTTCGCCATTTGGATTGGTTCTCGATGGAATTTTTTTATGAAATTTTTTGAGCATCTTATTCAGTAAGTCTAGTTTACTCATACCAAATTTAAGCTAAAAATTCAATCGGGAAGCCATTCAAATGAATTCTTTAAGATAATTGCGCAGTTAAAAGCGCAGTTATCTTCAAGAATTCATTTGAATGCCTTCTCGATTAAAGTTTTATCTGAAATTTGGTATGAGTAAACTAGACTTAATGAATAATATGGTAAAAAAAAATCATCAAAAAATTCAACCGAGAACCACCCCAAATGGCGAAGACCGGACAGAGCCTCATAAATAAGGCCTTATTTGACCTTTTTTGGTTAGTACGTGGCCTTATTTGCCTCTTTTCCCTTTGTTTTATAAAATTTGCTAAGAAAAAAACACCGTGCCTACCCGGATTGTAGTACTGCCGATAGAGCAAAAACTGGAGCACCATAAACAACAGACCGTTCCCTTGGTAGTTTATCTTCAAATGTGTCCAGAAACTGAAAATATTCAACAATAATTTGTTGTTTGGCTGCACTCCTCAGTTTGTTGGAAAGCAAATCCAGAGAGAAACCCTCCATGAGCAGGGCTAAGTACGTATTGGACGAAAGCGCAGATCTTCTATGGCCCACAACTGAAGAATAAATTTTATCCGCCATTGATTCTGAACCAAGAGTAACAAGCCTGCAAATGAGTCCTGCAACTTTTCGCATTGCACTATGAGGAACAACTACAGATTCAGGAGATGCTGAATACTGCAGCAATGAGCAAAGTTTATCGATGATGTCATGCATTGTTTCTTTCTCAGCATGGCGACACATAAAACACCACAGTTCAGTAACAATTTCATGGCAGAGAAAGTGGGGATGGAAAATATTCTCGAGCAGGAAATGCTCTATGTGACACCATGCCGAACTTGAAGAACTAGATATCATGAAGGTTTTCAATGCATGGAGTGCTGAATTAAATATAGGCTCATAAATTATTGCTTGCTTTTGAGTTGAACTGTGGGCCACAGGAATTTGCAAGGCTAGAATCAAAGAATATATATAATCATCTACAAATGCTCCCAATAACCAATCAAGTTTTCTGGCTATCACCATCCTAACAGTATCATCAATATCAGGAGCACTCTTCAGTAAATTAAGATACACAATAACCCGACCAGGCAATAGAGCTTTCCCACTCTGTACGGCATCAGAACTTGAGCAAAAAATAGCATCCAGTCCATCCACCTCACAGTCACTAGATGAAGCTACATAATCTGAATCCCATCCACACCCAAATCCAAACATCCAATCCAGAAGTTGTAACTTGTGATCTGGTTGCAATTGAGCAGAGTTGAGCAGAGAATTGAGCATATGCAAGGATGTAGGCTCCAGTATTTCCACCATTGCTTCACTTGCAAATTTTAGGAGTTCATCTCTACACAGTAATATTTTAAAGGTTTCCATCTTAACAAGAGATAGGGTGATGTCTTTGAAAACTGAAAAGGCTTGGGTTGGATACTGGGAGATAATTCTTACGGCATTAATGAGATAAAACTTAACCGGGAGAAATATTCTTTTAGCTTCAACAAAAGAAACTATTTGTTTCTGTGGGGATGACCACCCCTCAGCTGCAATCCTCAAACAATTATTAGCTAGTGAAATCAAACTCAAGATGGTGCCTCCTATATCCACCTTTACCGCTAAAGCACCCTTCCCGAGCTGAAGCAAGGTCACTACACCTTTCCATGACAAATTTAATAAGCTCACAGAACTTCCACCATTATTACCTGCGATGATGCCTAAGTCACGTAGTTTCTCGACTGAAAGTGTCATTAAATTGAGAACGTGATCAGTGGTATCCGCCTCTACGACACCTATGATGTTTGTATCACTATCTGCTCTTAGATGATATGAATCCCAATTTATGTTGTCAGAGTACACCCTGCATAATCGTATCAAAGAATCAAGGGCATCGTGTACCATCTTTTGCATTTCTGATCCAAACACACAAAGTGCCTGTTTGGGAAATCCAACAGAAGCAATTTATCTTCTGATCATTTACACTTCACTCAAAGATATATGAACTACTAAATTCAAGTTTAAGATAGTGATGAATGGTCCTTAAAATGGAAAGATGCATACGCTTACACCAACATAAACTTCATCTGAATGTAAGGATAATAATTAACAACTTTAGTAATTCAGTGTGAATGTAAGGATAATAATGAACAAGTTCAGCTGAACCTCCGAAAAAGGAACATCCTTTCTTAGAGTTTCAGTTAAAACATGATTCAGACGTTCAGTTGATGTGATACTACAGAGTTTTGTTGATAAAAACAGGCCAGCATGCCAGTTGATAACTTTATATAAATCTGATGTTTGTCACAATTTTTTCATGATGAAACGGAAATAGACCAATTATGATAGCAAAATCGGCTATAAAACAATAGCAGCGAAGTGGAATGGCTGTTAGAGTAAGTAGATCATAGGTATACATGTAGCAATAAAAAGTAAGTGAAATAACAATAAGTATGAAGAACAAAATATTGAAACATACAACAAATGCTCAGGAAAACTACAAAATGTGATTCACAGTCAATACCTTTATCTCTGAAATAGAATCCTTTATCAGGTTCAATTGCTCAAAAATGAAACTCTCAACAGCAGTTATCAAGCCTTTGTTACTTGCAATTGGATATCTGGTCAAAGCTGAAAAGCCAGAGGCAGCATAGCCCAGCAAATCCACGAGCAACTGAGACATTTAGATGCATGTCAATACAGAAAAGAAACAGTCTCCATTAGTCATAAAGTAAAAAAAAAAAAAAATCATATCAACCACAATGCCTTCCAAACCTGATAAAAGAGGTTGTCATGTTCTTCTTGTGAATCCTGACCAGTAGACATAACTGTCATCTTAAGGTGCTTTCTACACCATATGGCAGCCTTATAAATAGAAACAGAGCATTTACTAAATAAATACTTGCTCTTGGAAAAAATACCTAAATAAAAAACCATAGATGAGGACTGACCTTTGCTCCTAAACCCAAAAATTGCCTGAGACTTCCAGAAATGTCTGAATCCACATACTTTGCAGCAACATTCAAAATGGCCTTATTTAGTGTGCACTGAGATGTGTCTAGACAAGTAAAATCTTCCCAGAGTATCCGGTGAATGTTAAGGTACATGTACAGTTATAGAATTGAGCATCTTTATTATCAAATACAGTGGCAGGGAAGGAAATATTAATTGATAAAGTTTAGAATAAGGAGGAATTGAGACTGAAAAGCTTGATTCATTCCATGAAATGATATCCTATTTATACAACATTTTAGAGCTAGGCTACTGATTATAATATTAAATACAAAGATTTGTAACTGAAATATTTAATACAAATATTCTAATTTATTTTGTAACTCATGTAACTGATCTCTAGAGCTGTCTAGACTCTTCTGTCTATATGCCCCCGCAAGCCAGGTATTCTATCAGTGCTGAGAATCCTGAGCTTGTCACGTAGAAAAACAAACCGTTGTCGTGAAAGGGGTTTGGTGAGAATGTCAGCTAGTTGATCATGCGAGGGGATATGAAGAACCCGAAGAAGGCCACGTTGCACACGTTGACGAACAAAATGGAAATCAATGGCAACATGTTTCATTCGGGAATGGAATACCGGATTGGCAGAAGAAGTGGTAGCGCCTTTATTATCACATAGAAGAACTGGAGGAGAAGAAGGGGAATGTCGAAGCTCATGAAGAAGTGACTCAATCCAAAGAGTTTCAGATGCAGCAGTGGATAGGGCCCGATACTCTGCTTCGGTTGAGGATTTGGCAATTGTGCGTTGCTTGGAGGACTTCCATGAAATAAGCGATTCTCCGAGAAAAATGGCATAAGCACTGGTAGAGGATCGGTCATCTGGATTTCCCGCTCAGTCTGCATCAGCATAAGCACACAATGAAAGGTGAGAACTCCGACGGAGATATAAACCATGAGAGGCTGTTCCGTGAAGATACCGCAAGAGACGTTTCATGAGCTGCCAATGGTTCACCGTGGGTTTGTGCATAAACTGGGCTAGCTTGTTGATGGCAAAGGCCGTATCAGGTCGGGTGAGGTTTAAATACTGAAGTGATCCAATAACTTGACGATAGAGAGTGGCATCACAAGAACCTGAGCTATCAAACAGAGACAAGGAAGCTGAGGAAGCTAATGGCGTGGATACTGGATTCGCCTCGTGCATGTTCAACACCTGTAATAAATCTGTAATGTACTTGTGTTGATCAAGAAAGAGTCCATCTGATGTAGGAGTAACCTGTATGCCCAAAAAGTAATGTAATGACCCCAAATCCTTAATGGAGAATTTTTGTGCTAACAAGTTAATAGTCCGATGAATCAAGTCTGGTGTAGAACCCGTAACAATAATATCATCCACATATACCAACACATAGATATATGAGGGATGAGAAGAAAAGATGAAGAGGCTGGCATCAGAGACTGATTGATGAAAACCAAGGGATAATAGAAATCCACTAAGAGATTGGTACCATACTCGAGGTGCTTGTTTGAGACCATAGATGGATTTCCTAAGACGACACACTCTTCCAGAGCCATCATTGAAACCAGGGGGTTGTTTCATGTAAACCTCCTCTTGAAGAGCACCATGTAGAAAAGCATTGTTGACATCTAGTTGGTTTATGTGCCAGCCATGAGAAAGTGCAATGGTCAGAACAACCCGAATAGTAACTGGTTTGATGACTGGGCTAAAAGTCTCAGAGTAATCAATCCCCGGGCGCTGATGAAAGCCTTTAGCCACCAATCGAGCTTTGAAACGATCCAAGGAACCATCGGGCTTATATTTCACAGTATAAACCCATTTGCAGCCAACAATGTTCTGACCAGGATGAGCGGGTACAAGTTCCCATGTCCCTTGTTGAACCAAAGCATCAAATTCCACAGACATAGCCTTCCTCCATTCAGGTACCCGTAAAGCTTGAGAAGCACAAGTAGGAATAATATGATGAGGAAATGGTGAGTGTGTGACAACATTAGCTTGTTTACGAGAACGCAGGGTCATTGGGTGGGTACGTTTGGGTGGAGAGGCTTTTGGATCATGATGATGACCCAAGGTAGATATGGGATTATTTGTAGTGGGAGTAATGGTTGAGGGGTTGGTGTTGGTTACATTAGGTAAGGATGGAGTAGTTGGGTTTTGTTTGGGCCGGCGGTGATAAGTGATGAGGACCGGTGGGTTAGAAGCTGGTGGAGTGTTATGAGGAGCAGGGTTAGGGGAGTCTTGTGTTATTGGGGTACGAGTAGTAGGAGACGCCTTTGCTAGTGATGTACCTGAGATAGGAAGATAAGAGATAGGAGGTTGAAGCCAACTGTCAATTTCAGAGGACAGATCTGTAACAGGTGTTGTATTATTAGAGAAAGAGAAGACAGACTCATTGAACACCACATGCCGACTAAAAAAGATGCGATTGGTAGTAGGATCAAGACAGCGATAAGCGCTTTGTTGATCGCAATACCCAAGGAAAATACAAGGTCTGGACCGTGGTTCTAACTTATGAGCTGCATAAGGACGGAGCCATGGAAAACATTGACATCCGAAAATAGCAAGTTTTGTGTAATTGGGAGGTTTTTGAAAAAGTTTTTCATAGGGAGTACAAAAACCTAGAGATGCTGTTGGTTGCCTATTAATTAGATATACAGCAGTTAAAAAGGCGTATGACCAATATTTTAACGGCATTGAAGAGTGGTGAAGTAAAGTGATCCCTGTTTCTACAATATGACGATGTCGGCGTTCAGCGAAGCCGTTATGCTCAGGGGTATATGGAGGGGTCAGTAAGTGAGTAATACCACAAGAGGCCAGAAATTTCCCTAGGGATATGTATTCACCCCCTCCATCTGAATAAACCATTTTAATAGATTTTTGAAAAAAGTTTTCTACGATCTTCTTAAATTGTTGAAAAATTGAAGTTACCTCAGACTTGTGAGTGATAGTGTAAAACCAAATGTATTTTGTGTAGTGATCAACAAAAATAACATAACAACGAAAACCATCCACAGAATTAATGTGTGAGGGACCCCAAACATCTGTATAAATTAAATCAAGTGGACCTGAACTTGAAAGGGAAGATTTAGCAAAAGGTAACTTGTGACTTTTATTACTTGCGCATGAAGTGCATAAGGACAAATCCTTATTAACATCTTTAAAGGAAATACCTAATGAGGAAATAACTTTTTGAGTGATGGGAAGGGCAGGATGTCCTAAACGACAATGCCATTTATTTAGAGAAAATTTTGTAGTAACATTGACACATGGTGATGAAGGAACAGGAACATCAGGCAAGCTGTAGACGTCACCTTTATTCATACCCCGTAACAAAATTGCTCCCGTTTTCCGGTCCTTGACAAGACAAAAAGAAGGGTGAAACTCAATTAGTACATCATTGTCACGAAATAATTTGGCAACTGAAATTAAATTAGTATGAATAGAAGGAACAAAAAGAGTATTAGGTAAGGAGAGAGAATGAAGGGTCATATTCCCAACTTGTGCAATTTCAAGACTTTTACCGTTACCAATAATGAGGGAGTCTGTGCCGGTGTAATCGGACGCCAGGGTAAGATTGTTTAAATTATTGGTGACATGATTAGTTGCTCCCGAGTCCAGCAACCATCCGGTTCTCCTGGTCGTGGCAGTATTGGCCTGGGGGGGATAATTTTGTTGTTCAAACCTGTGCCAACAGTTTATAGCGAGATGGTTCGGTTTGCTACAAATTTGACATATAACGGCACCCGGACTGGTATTTCCCCCAAAATTAGTACGCCTGCCCCCGGGATTATTATTTCCACGTCTATTTGAATTGTAGAAGTTGCTGGGACGTGGGCCTCGATTTTGATTTTTGAAAAATTTATTCTGAGTATTGGGCCTATTGGGTAGAGTCTGAAACTGGGCTGATGGACCTGGGCCTAATATAGACGCGTTCTGGTCTAGACTTCTGCGAACGGTCATTGCGACCGAACTGTCTTCTTCCTCTTTTCTTTCTACCGTAGCTGCGTTCGCAGTAACAACAGCCGCAGAATTCAAGAGCTCCCTCCTTCGCAACTTGTCTTCGAATCTGACCAGTAAGGAGTGGAGTTCTTCAAAGTTAGTTTCATCTGGGCGGATGGAGTTCTCCACGGATTCAAACTCGGGACGAAGACCCTCCAGGGCTTGAATGGCAAAGTCTTCATCGTCAACAGGTCGGCCGGCCATGGCTAGTTCATCCGCGAGGGTGCGAAGGTGGTGAAGATATTCTGCTACAAGTTGCGACCCCTGTTTAGCATGGCGGAACTGGTCTTTAAGACTTCGGATTTTGGAAGCTGACCGGGTCCCATATAGGCGTTCCAATGTTTTCCAGACGGAGGCGGAGGTCTTTGCAGACCCAACCAGCGGTTTGCAGGCGGAACTGAGAGAAGATACAAGAGCGTGCCGCACCAGACGGTCCTGTCTCTTCCATCGCAGAAAGTTGGCAGCTTCAGTTTCTGGAGGAGGACTGATTTTTTCATCAATATACTGATCTAGATGAGACCCGAACAGAAGGTCCATTACTTGGTCTCTCCATACAAGGTAATTTGATCCATCTAGTTTTTCTGGGAATTGGTTAGGGCTGAGCATAACAAGGCCATCCGGGGTTAGGGGATTATTGGCCGAGAGAGATGATGTTGAATTATCATTCACATCTTCTGGACTTTTGTCTCTATTATTTTCATGAGCCATGGGCAGAGAAAGGTGATGCGGGGGGATAGTTCAGTGAAGGGAATAGGCCGTTTAGGCCTCTAGAGGCTCTGATACCATGATAAAGTTTAGAATAAGGAGGAATTGAGACTGAAAAGCTTGATTCATTCCATGAAATGATATCCTATTTATACAACATTTTAGAGCTAGGCTACTGATTATAATATTAAATACAAAGATTTGTAACTGAAATATTTAATACAAATATTCTAATTTATTTTGTAACTCATGTAACTGATCTCTAGAGCTGTCTAGACTCTTCTGTCTATATTAATGAGTTTCAAAAATATTAATATCCAACCTCAACAGTGTTGTTTTTCTGTTACTATTATATATATAAGCAGAAATACAGAAATGTTATATTAAAAGGACATTATAAAGAAATTCCCATTTCCTAAAAAGCGAACGGCCTCTACTGCTATCCAGTAATGCATCTCGATCACTAGAAGGGTACAAAAAGAAATGCATATGGCTTCTACATTGTCTCAACATTATGAAATGAATTGGAAATGATAAGAGTAGTGGAACTCGTACTAAACATATTATTATGTTTTGTTCAGTTGGTATGTTCTAATCTCCCTCAACACATCACAAAATGTGGCAAATGGATCAATGAAAGGTTCCAGATAGTAAAGAATTGATAATACAGTATTTCCGTTGGATCTGCAGGAAGTGGCAACACCACCATACTTAAGTTGCAACCAATAAAAGCAAAGCTATGCCAAAAAAACTAAAAAATATCACAGGTGGGAACAAAAAAAAACTTAGAAATTCACACCTGCTCATGAAAACCTTGAAAAGTTGTCATTTCTAGCCAAAGCTACAACTAGCGACTTATGAAGTCTAAATTTGTTTATTCTTACATGTGCCTACTTGAGTGGTCCTGTCTACCTATACTCTTTTCCTGAATTTAATATGTATTCATGTTATCACCATTAGCCACTGATCTAGCTGAAGGAAACTGTGATTTACCAAACGAGTTTAGCACAATTCAGTTTGAGATCCTAAAATGAGTTAGAAACGCCAATATAATCTTTGAACTGGATGACTAAGGCCTCAGGAAATATTTTTAGCCACCAACATAACTCAATGATTGGTCTTCAATGGAAATTCATAGAGAAAAACAAGTTTAAATGTATATTTAAAAGATTAAAAGGAAATTTTGCAATAATTTGGATACTTGAAGAAAGTCTACAAGAGATGCAACTTCAGAAACATCTGTTATATTTAACTCTCCAACTTCATCAAGCAATTGAACACGATTCTCAACAACCTGTACTTAATAAAAGAAAAACAAGTTGATGTGTGATTGTGATGAAGTGAGTGTACACATAAATGCAGCATCATTAATTACGACGAAAGAACATTGTTTGGAGGGTCTGAATTAGCTTAGGCAAGATCAGTGCAGAATAGTATGATGATAAGTGCTAGAGCATCTCTCTTTCCTTTTCCTTTTAAGAGGGGATAGGTAATACTGGAGACCACACAAACAAAAAACAAACAAAATAAAAAACAAACACACATACATTCATTTTAAAAATAAGAACATTAGTTTCCCTAAATGGGAGTAAAAATAATGTGATAATCCAAAACAGGAGTACTATGTTTTTCTTAAAATAGCACTAATTGTTGTCATACTTGGAAAATACCATCAATTATGACATTAATATTGCCATATTAATGTTTGGTTATACCAATATATGGCAATATGATTTCAGGATGACAACAGTTTACTCCTTATTTAGGAAAAAAAAACGTAGTACTCCTATTATGGAATATCACATTGTTTTTACTCCTTCGGGAAAACTTCCCAAAAAAGAAAGAACCTTATACTGGCCAAGCTAGTGCTAAGGGTATGCCATAAGCTCATAATTAACAACAGGCTCAACTCCTGAAGAATATGTACAATACAAAAAGTAGGCTGTACACATGAAAACACCTCACACATACAGCCAGTGTGAATAATGGGATAACTTTGCAAGTGACAGTAAGTTTTTTTAGTACAATCAAAAGCATTTATTGAATAGTCTTTGTAGCATGCGAAACAAGAAATTGGCATATTACTCATTGGTAAATTGAGTTTTAGATAGCCCTATATTTCAAAGCATAAGAATAAAGCAAGTATTAAGTGATGTAATGAATAATGTTTTATTTCTAAAGCCAAGACATGTACTGCCCACATTCACATGATCAACATGGCACCTTATCTTTATGTTGTGTAAATTCAAAATTTTTAGGATAATGTACTTTTTTGCTTCTTTTTAAGATTTATTGAACTAAAATTAAACAACAGACCAGGGCTGTATACACATAAAAGAGGCACATCATGTGGTTCATTAGTATTGGAAACTCCATGGAACATCAAAGTTTGATTGGGTGGTTGGTACCTCTTCAGTAGGTAAGTTTAAGTTGTTTTTGGGAAACCCAAATTTACTCTGGAAAGTTACATTTTGGTACTATGCGCATAAATTCTCCATGAAATGGTGTAACGAGCAAACTTACACTAGTTCATTTACATGTACAAAAAGATATTAGAGTAAATTTAACTACTATTTAGCTATTGTCTTCCAAATAAACCAATTCCACATAGGTGCTGTGTCAATGAGTCTAACTGGTCCTATACTCCTAATGGAGATGAAAAGGGACTGCGAAAGAAAAGGATGTGCAGTTGAGTTCATTCCTGCTCTTAGTTTTTACTGGACAACCAATCCTTATTCATAGACAATCTGCAGAAGTTTGAACGTCCTACAGTTAAGTGACACTTTTAGGCACTCGACTATCTAGGTGCCGGCTAAGCCCCCTAACATAAGAGGACATTCCCTACTCTTTACTATTGTTCAGAGGTACTGGCCATTTGTCAGAATAATGTGTTTTTATATGATCATTTATTAGGTAGTGATTTGAATTAAATAGTTGATGAGGTATCATCATGGCACTTTTTTAGAGGGCACTTGCACATTTATCTGAGCTCAATGAGCACCTAGCAGTCTTTTCAACATTGGTCTATTATCTATCCATCCTTAGTTTTTCAACAAACAAATACTCAATTTACATTAGGATTTAGAGCATTTACGCTATTATAAGATATAGTTAGGCTTAAATTTTATTTCAAGTATAAGAACTCAAGAGCATAAAATAAGCTCTTATTGCAAAAAAACGATAGCCCTATTATTTTACAAAATTTACATCTTGTTTATCTCACAACTGAACTCTTATCCTTTCTTTGTCCTATAATTCCTGACTTACGGCAACAGCAATGACCAAGCTTTAGCCATAATCAATGAGTGCCTACATGAACAACAAAAAACTCTGAGATCACACACGAAAATCCTCATTTTCACTATTTTTTACGTAGTACTACGTATCATGTATCAATGCTTTAATTTCTTCATCTACACCTTTAATCCATGTCATTTTGTCCTGTTGGGCTTACCAGGGAATCTCTTTAATCAATAATCCTTGATACTACAAGACTCCACTTTTCATAGTGGGCACTTGCTTCTTTTGACATCCAGAATGCCGACACGACATAATTGGTTTTCATTTCATTATGTTCAATAACTGCTAAGCCACTTTCATGCAGAAATGCTGAATCACTCTCTTTCCACGTTTCAACACACATCTATCTTTTAGCATACATATCTTTACCACAATCATCTTTCAACAATTACCGGCCTACTAGATACCTAAGTTCACTAAGCACTATTAGGAATATAAGTTTGTTAGCCTTATACCTAACTAGCCGACTACTGTTAGTCTATTGTATGGTAGTTAGATTCTAGTATCTTCTATTCCTTTTCTATAAATAGAATGTAAAGTGGTACACATTAATAATACAATTTAATCATTTCTTCTGAATACTGCACTCTGTTTATCAATATGGTATCAGAGCGTTGAGTTCCTCGATCATGGTTTCCTCCTCAACTACTTCCGCCACTTCTGCCGCCGGAAATACTCCATTTCCGGTGAGCTTCTCTCATCCACTTCCTCTCAAACTTATATTCCTAAAAAGCACTAAGAATTCAATCATTCCATAACTATAAGTTGGTTTTTAAGAATTTACAAGTAGATTTGCTGAAAATGGTGATGATGCATCTGACACGTCATTATTTCCCGTACAAAGTTAGCTCAAATACAATTTGAAAGGGAATAAATGTTACTCATGAGTTAAAATAAAAAATCAAACTGAGAGAGGAGAAGTTCTTTTCAGCCACTAAATAAATAAGAAATACTCCTCCTCTTGTAACAATGTTAGGGAAATGGAGTAAAAAATTATGCATTTTCCGGGGCAGCCTAGAAGACATAGACATTACATTATAAATGATCAATTAAGCGATACAAAATATACAAAAAAATCCTTTAAAAACCTAAATATCAAAATTAGCAATAAACATAATTCATAGACATGGGTAATACTGAACCGATGTGAAACATAGGTGAAATGAGCACTACATTAAATCGAAATAGAAATTTGAATGAGATCTCCAAGAAATTTGAAAGAGAGCTCACGTCCGATGATTGGATGGCTTCAAGAATGGTATGAAGATCTGCATTTGGGCTGGAACTTGAACTGTTCGCCATTTTCTCTCTGGCGCGCGCGCTCACTATTTGCAGAACTGTCGTACTCTACTACTACTCGACGAGTCCACTACTCATTTTCCCGCCAAAGATAATACAGTGCGTATACAGTTCATGAGAAACATTATATCCAAGAAAGAGAGCGTGGTCAATAAAAAATTTGAAAAACAAGAGCAGCCTAACACTCACACATGTAAAAAATTATAGTAAGACAATTTATTAAAAAGCTTTATATGATGTAACCTCATTCAAAAGAGGCATAGTCAAACAATTAATAATAAATGTGGCGGTGTAAAGGACATCCAGGGGCGGATCTAGGATTGAGAGATGGGGTGGACTAAGCAGCAGTAATTTTTTTTTACTATACATACCAAATTCAGCTCATGGTTGTTATCGAACAAAGATTTTTTTGAATTATATACTCGAGTTCGAGCTTGATTTCGAATATAATTTAATGAATTGAGTTTAACAAGTTTCGAACTCGAACACGGAGTAGGTTTTGAGTTTGAATAATTATTCAAGCCGAGATCGAACATAGTGATGTTTCGATCCGAACACGAGCCTATCGTTCACATTTTTTTGGGTAGTGTACCCGGCCGGGTTTGTTTCCCATTTTTTTTTTTGAAATGTGTAAAAATAAAATAAAACAAGTAAACATACCTTGCATGGGTTGCCTCCCAAGAAGCGCCTTATTTAACGTCGCGGCACGACGCCATCATTGTGTTCAATCATTTGAACTTGGATCGTGATAGTTTATCTTTTTCACACTTTCACTCCTAGGACGTTCATAGGAGTGCTCAACTTCTCGACTCTTCAATTTGGGAATCTTTCCAGGATCAAATATCCAGATTGTCATTGATTCATGCGGTGGGAGGAAAGGGAAGAAATTATCGTTTACTATGGTCAATGAAAAGTTTTCCGATCCCTCAATTTTGAAGGGGATTTCAGAAATGTCATTGTCCTTTCCAAGTTTATGAGTTTCCCTCAAAATTTTTAGAATTGATGGGGGTACCTCAAAAGATGACAAAGATAGATATTTGACCTTGAAGCTCAGATTATCCTCTTCTTTGACCAGTTGGAGCTCCGTGTTTTTTTGTCATTGTGATTGCAAAAGTTTGCTGTTTAGGATCACATTCTAGTTGAGAATGAGGTTTTTCTGAATCCCTTGCTTCTAGCCTACTCACGACTCCGGCTATTTGACTCATTTGAGTTTCCAAGTTCAAAATGCTAGACTTGGTCTCATTTTGGAATTGCACCATGTTTTGTTGCATGGTGGTCACACTGTTAGTAAGAGTCGGAACCATGTCCTCCGTGGACATATTAGAGTTGGAGAATGAATCATACCTCATGTGAGGTACATCATCAATTTGTGCAAAGTATTCTTCTTGGAGCTTTGGGCAGAAGTCCGTAAGATGCATGTGGGACATGCAAATGTTGCATGTCTTGGCATCTTGAGCTTTTGAGTTAAAGATAGATTCCTTTATTAGAGAAGTACGGAAGGAAATCTGACTCTCTAAGGATGAAGTGTTGGTATCCATATACTCATAACTCATGTAAGCTCAGAAAATAGAAGAGCAAGATTTTTTATTTTTATTTTTATGAGATAGAATAAAAAGAAAAGTAATTGTCTTTCCCCGGCAACGGCGCCAAATTTGACGTGCCCTTGTCGTGAGGTGCACTCAAAATAAATTCACTACTAGCACTTATAAGTAGTATAGGTGAAGTAGAGTTCGTATCCACAGGGAAAGGAATAATTCTCTTTTTATAAAAATAGTAAATAAAGGGGTTTTTTGAGATTGAATGGTATAATTTAAAAACTAAGATGAACAACCTATATGTGTTTATTTCAAAGATAAAAAGGACTTGGCATTGCTACTTTCCACTTGTTGATATATTTTAGTCGATCATCGTTATATCTATAACTTATTCCGTCTCGAATACTCAATCGGGGAGTATATCCACTTCATCGAGGGTAGTTATTAACAACAACTGTTCATTAATAACCCTTACTATTAATCAAATATAGAACAACACCTTATACCGATTTAATAGTAGCATTTAATCTTTCTAACTCCTTGATGAAATCAATTGAGATTGATAACCTCAACACAACAGTTTCGGTTTAACCAACAAAATTAATCCCTCTTAAATTATTAACCACGACCGTGCATTAATAAACCGAAGTTACTTACTTGTGAAACCATCAACGATTAACCATCGGTTCGTTGATCGTTTCTAGTAATAATTAATATATGAAACAAAACTAGTTGATCCTTTAACTAATGTTCAAAATATTAATATGAAATATGAATAGGAATTAATTAATACACAAGGAAGAATATTATTAAAGAAGATGAATCCTACTATAATTAATATCAAGATGTTAACTAATTGTCATCTTAGCAACACTCCCCAACATTAATATAGAGGAAGAAAATACTATTCTAACTAATGTCGAGATGTTAACTAATTGTCATCTTAGCAACACTCCCCAACATTAGTATAGAGATGGTATTAAGGGTTATTAATTAATATTCAAGGAAAGAAGTTAAGAAAATAACTCACAACTTTAATAATCAACAAGCTTCAAGAGCAACACCACTAAATGGAAGTTTAGCTCCTCATTTGGAGACTAAACATGCTATAAAAATATAAGAAATGCTATTCTAAACTGAGCTTAGGAGTATGGAAGGAGGGATCATTTTTAGAGAAGAAAAAGAATGCTATTTATAGGTGTTTTTCAACACCTTTGGTCGGGTACCCGACCGGGTCAAGTACTTACCCGACCGGGTCCGGTCAAAATTAGATAATTTGCCACGTTCTGGTGATCTTCGCACGTCGTTTTGTCCCGGGTCACATCTGTCCCGACCGGGTCAAGTAGGGGACCCGACCGGGTCCAGTGATTTTCTTGGCAATTTCGTCTGTTAAATCATACCCGACCAGGTGGGGGTTTCTACCCGGTCGGGTTTTACTCCTGGACAGTCAAATTTCTTGTTTTCTTCTCTTCAAAGTCTTCCTTTCCAACACCACAAATCCTAACTATACTTTACAACTTATAAATAAAGACTAAAATACAATTACAACTGAAATCACATAAATGTTTACAAACTAAATAAAACGTCAAACAATCAACATAAATCAAACATAAAAACATGTAATTATGCACTACTAATTAGTGTGCATCAGAGCTGCTGATGATAACCACGACCGTGTCCACCCCGAGGTCTGCCACCTTGGTTTCCGCGGCCGCCATTGCCGCGAGGAGCGCCTCTGCCATGAGCACCCCCTCAGCCCTGTGGTGCTGGTGTTGCGGCAAATGCCTGATGGACTAGCGGTGAATCCTAAGTCTGTAAGAAGGTGTTCTGATGCTCCTGTGCTTGAAGAATCGTCCTCAAAGATTCCAGAGTGGCATTCCTAGGAAAATATGTGATAGTCGTGATAAGTGATTCATATTTACGACTCAACCCCAGAATAACATATTCAATTAAATCTCTATTACTAACAGGAGAATTAATTGTTGCAAGTGCATCTGCCATTAGTTTAACTCCAACAAATATTGGTCCATAGTTTGTGAATCTTTCTTTTTAACATGGGATAATGACCGATTGAGCTCAACAGTACGAGCAAAACATGCAGACATAAAATGAGTCTCGAGGCATTCCCAAATAAGATGGGAAAATTTTAAATCATATACCCCCATCAAAACATCTCGAGCAAGGGTAGCCAAAATCCAAGACCTAACCGTTTGATCTATTTTCAGCAAATGATAATAATCCGGATTAGGCATTTCACGTCGGGCTATGCCAAACACAGTGGGTGACGGTACCCGAATTGAGCCATCGAAAAGTTCCCAAGAAGACTGTGGGATACCAAGAAAGACTCAAATTGGGTACGCCACGGTAAATAATACTCCACATCTGTCAATCGGGTGGTGACAATATTAGTCACATTTGGCGTTGAAAACGCTAGTTGTGATGATAAAGCAGATGATTAACCCGTAGAAGTAATAGAACATGGTGCGGGTGAAGCTATAGCATGCGGCAGTGGACTGATTCCTATCCGGCCAGACCATATCCCCTTTTCTCAAAATTGTGGCTGTGGCGGGGGCCAGTTTCCGCAGCAGCAGCCTCGACAGCTTCCCCATCACACATGCCGTGGAAAGTAGCTAAGGAGTGGGACAACCCCTCATTGGAACACTTCTGAACAACATGGTAAGTTCACTTTGTCAGTTTTAAATATTAGCCATTTATCTACTTGTGGTACTAACTCTAGATATGCATGCTTTCTATCGAATGAGGTTATTATCGGGTCTATTCCTCCTCGAGTTGTGTGTCAATTTTTTTCTGCAGGTCACTCTGCTATTAATTGTCAGTAGTGCTTCAGTCAGCCTTTTGACTCCTACTGATGAAACTAATTCTATCTTATGGTATCCCGACTCAGGCGCCTCAGCTCATATGACTTTTTTTGAAGGTAATCTAGTTTTTAAATCTTCTTATGATGGTCCAACCTCTATTAGTGTTGCTAATGATATTCAAATTCCTATTTGTCGTGTTGGTGGTGTTCATTTACATTCATGTAGCTGTCCGCTTATATTAAAATCTGTTTATCGTATTCCTCACATCAAATATAATTTAATTTCTATTCTAAAATTGTGTGTTGACCGTTGATAACAATTGTATTGCTATTATTTGTGATAAAAAAATTGTTAAAGACAAAATATCTCATGCCACTCTCCTTCAAGTTTCTAGTAATGGTCTCTATCCTCTCAGTCTGAGTTCCCCTACTCTCGTTATCTTGTCCTTTGTCGTTGCTCCTCCGTCTCCCCCCATTGCCTCTTCAACCTCACCGAGTTCGCCCTCCGACTCCACGCAATCCCTCAACCCAGTCTCCCCTTCAATTCGTCTCAATCTACCTTACCATCTTTATCTCCCCCTTCCTCCCAACCCGACCTCACTGCCCAACCCACGACCGACAGCCCCTCCCACCTTGATCGACCTCACTGTCCAACCCACGGTAGACAACCCCTCCGAATCCATTTCATGTGCACCTCCCATTCCCTCTGTTTCTTCTGGCCCGGTTGGTCCATCTGCCCCATCTGAGTCCATAATTAATTTACATTCCCTGCAAACTCGGACCAAATCTGAGTTCATAAATATGTGCAATTTTAGGACTTTTTCGTTGGAAAGTACACTTCGGATAGAAACTTCGATGTCGGTGACGTCTTTTCCTGGACAAATTTTTTCGGAAAATGTAATTTCCGGCGAAAAATCCTTAAGTTACACATGTTTATTATTTACAGGAACAAATGTGCAAGTCAATAAAATTACTTGAATAATAAATAAAGGGTGTGATTGAAAATTATCGGACTTAATTTTCAAACTTCCCTTTGATAATAAGATAGATATACTTCTATTATTGCACTATACATAAGTATATTTTAGGGAAATTGCCCTAAATAGGAGTAAACAACTTTGGAATTTCCAAAATAAGATTACTATGTTTTCTTCCCGAAATATGAGTCATTATTGTCAGGATTGAAAAAAATATCGTCACTATTGAAATATATTGTCATTAAGTATAATAAATACTGTCATGTTGAATGCATATAGTACTGCAACTATTTGTCGGTCATGACTAAAAGATAACAGTAAATACTATATTTTACCCCATTTAACTAATTACTCATATTTTTAACTTTTAAGATAAGTTAAACAACCATGATATGATAATGTTATTCTTAGGAATATAATGTTGTAATCTTTAAAATTTTAAGTAATTGCCCCATATAGGACTAAAAGAGAAGTGAAATTCTCAAATAGGACTATCCATGATTTTTTCCCTAAACAAGACTATTTTACTCCTATTTGAAAACATCCGTATTTTTTATTCCATTATTACCCCCTTATCCCTTTTACGCTCATCTCTCTCCCATTCCCTACGCACAACCGCTTCCCCATTCTCTCTTGCGCACACCTCTGTATCTCTTCCTTCACTGCGCATCATCATCCGTCTTCAACGTACCTAGCCATCTCAGCCGCCGCCAATTTCGCCCTGCACACAAGATCGTTTGATTTCTCTCTCACGTCGCCGCTGCATTCGATTCTCTGTACGCCGCTGCCACTAAGGTTCTCCTCCATCCATCCATCTTCTTCTTCCTCTCTCTCTTCTTCTTCTTCTTCTTCTTCTTCTTCTCCTTCTTTTCGATTTTCTTCCATTTTTCTGAATTTTGAATTATTTTTTCCAGTTTTTCAGACTTCTATTTCAATTTTCTGGTTTTTGATTTCAGAGTTTAAAAAAAATCGGTTTGATAAATATTTGGATGATTGCTTCAGATTTGGCCAAGTTTATGGCAAAAATGTGTACATTTACAATCATATTATGGAAGAAATGTTTTTTTATAAATTGATTTTTATGGTTTTATGTCAATAGCTTCGTTTTTCTAATTTTCGGTTGTGTTAAAATGTTTGTTCCATTAAAAATTTTAGTTGTTTGAATATTTGGTTATTTACTTCTTTTTTTTGCCAAATTTATGGCAGTTTTGTGTTACTATGCCAAGTCGAATCTGCCAACTTTTTTGGCAGATCTGAAACACTTGTTCATGGCAGAAGTAAATCTAATTCCCAATGCTAAATCTGCCAAGTTAATGGCAGATTATTCCGCCTGAGTTGTCACTATTGTGGCGTGCTCAGAGGATCGTGGCTTGAGTGGATGGTGACGCCGGTCAGATAGTGATGGCATAGATGGCAACGCTGGTGTGGGAAGCGGCAAGGAGCGGCGATGGATGACGACGGTGCGGTGGCAGATGGTAGACAGCGAGGGCGGCGACAGAGGGCGGCGGCAGGTTGCGTCAGCGAGGGGTGGCGGCAGGCGGTTTGGCTCCGGTGGCGACAGTGCTCTCCTAGGGTTTCAATAATTTTTTATTTTACAATTTTAAAATTTAAAAAACTAAAAGAGGGGTATTTTTGTCCAACTGTACTGAAATTGGTCCTATGAAAGTTGTGTTTCGTTTGTAGTCCTAAATGTGCAATTAACTTTGTTATTAGTTCTATTTGAGTCATTAACTCTAAAATTTTTGTATGTCGGTTCATGAAATAAGAGTAAGAATAATGTAAATCTAAAAAATATGAGGATCATGATCTTTATCAAGCATAAGTAAATTACTGTGATCCTAAAACTAAGATGACTATATATATTATTTTCAAAACTGGGAGTATTTACCAACGACGACAGTTTACTCCTATTCAATTAAGAAAAAGGAAAATAGTAGTACTCAGATTTTCGAATTTCAAATTAAGTTTTATTCCTATTTAGACAATTTCTGTAAAAAAAAAAAAACTTTTGTCCAGCTAAGACTACATACCGTGCTTGCTATATACGATAGTATGTGCGCTACACTTTGGGAAACTACTTGATGCTTTTTATTGGGTTAAAAATACTTTGGAAAACTAATGTGGTCACAAGCAAATTAAAAGTTACTTAATGAATCTCATCTTTTGATTCACCTAACTCTGAGCCATGCAAAAAATGTAATGTCACTCTCGAGAATTGTTAGGGCTGAGTTTAATATGGTCTCACTCGCATTTACTCCCTTCCTTCAATATCCCCAACTGTTGCCTACCCTTAATTCCCATGCAAAATACGTACCCATATAAATACCCACATTTCCTCTATCAATTTCTGCATCAGATTAGTAACAACATAGGGTTTAGGGAGAGTGAGTGAGAGAGAGCAGAAAAATGGCAAAATTCTTTTTCATAATGTTTGTGGTCGCAGCTCTAGTCATGGTGCACTCCGCTGCCCGCAAAGTTCCGGCTGGCGGCGACACCCAAGATCTAACCATAACCCCGAAGAGCACCGTACCTGCACCGGCCCCCAGCGGCGGAGTCGATGACAAAAAGAACCTTATAGTTGGCGGCATGGGTGGCTGGGCGGGGGTCGGGTACGTGCTCCCGACTCTTGGTGGGGTGGTCGGTGGAATTAGCGGTGCTAGTGGCCTTGGCGGCGTCGGAGGGCTTGGCGGCGCCGGTGGCGGGATTGGTGGCGCAAGCGGGCTGGGCGGGATCGGTGGCGCAAGCGGGCTGGGAGGGATAGGCGGTGCTGGCGGTGGGATTGGTGGCGCAGGTGGGCTCGGCGGCTGTGGAATTGGCGGAGGGATTGGCGGTGGGATAGGCAAAGTAATCATTCCGTAGAGTTAATTATTTAGTTCAACTTGAATGTGGTTTAATTACCAAGAATTTAATTTCTGGTGTATGTTTTGTCTGAATCATTTATCTTTTGAATAATTTTGCGTGAATGTGGTCGAGCCTGTGAGGAATCCCATGCATGTCACGTTGCATGCGCGTCTACGATACTGTAATTGTAATTCTTGATCAGCTTGTTTGATTGCATCAACATCCTTCTTTTATTAAGTTCCAACTTTTTAAGTTTTCATAATGTATCAATATTATATCTCGTGTCTTTTAAATCTACTTCCCTTCTTTGATTACTTACAACATTTGATTTTTATAGTGATAACTGATAAGTATACTTGTGGAGTCAATGATGTTGGAATTTAACCGAACATATACCATAATACTCCCTATATAAGAAAGTAGCAAAAAAAAAAACATTTGATTTTTACTAACTTCAATTTATTAGTTAATGTATCATGGAGTAACAAATTATATTATGAAAGATATTTTCATATTTAGAAATTACTTCAAATAGGACTAAAACTATACCAAAAACCCAAAATAGGACTTGTTATGTTTTTATTCCAAAATAGGATCATATTACTCCTATTGGAAACATATCTATTTTTTCATCCCATTCTTACCCCTCCTTTAAATATGAATAAAAGATAGTCAAAAGTCATAATTAAATGTTTAATTCATAATAAATTCGAAAAAATTTAAAAAAAATGTAGAAAAATAATAAAATATTTATAAAATAAAAAATTTAATTTTCTTTTTTAAAAAAATTGAAAAAAAATATATTAAACTCCATAAAAAAATTAAAAAAAAATATGGATGCCTTTCCGACCGCCTGTACTACCTCCATGCACCACCACCTCTGATTGGTGTAAAAAATGCCATATTTTCTGAAAATTCCAAAAAATGGTATATTACTCTTTGAGAATGCCAAAATGTAATTTCCATTGAATCTGCCATAAATATGGCATTTCCAAATGCATGTGGTATTTTGTTTTTAAAATTAGATGTCTTTCCTACTGCTTGTACCACCCTGCACCACCACCTCCGACCGGTGTAAAAACTGCCATTTTTTCTGAAAATGCCCAAAAATGGCACATTACTCTTTGCGAATGCCAAAATTTTCATTGGTTCTACCATAAAATGGAATTCGTAATGGATGTGGCATCATTTTCCCTGGTGGTTGGAGGTGGTGGTGCTGGGGCGGTAGAGGCAGCGGTGATTTTTTTTTTGCGTTTTTTTTAAAAATCTTTTAATTTTTTTAATATATTTTTGAATTATTATTATTTAAACATTTTTATTAATTTTTTAGTATTTTTACGAGTTTTTATGATTTTTTATTATTTTATTATGAATTAAAACATTTTAATAGCAATAAGGGTATATTTGTCCAACACACACATAATTAGTCTTCTCAAAACATGATTGTTTCGGTGTAAAATATTATTTTTAATGAAGTTAAGTGATTAATACACACACATATAGAGTAGGGATCATATGAGAATATAATCTTAGTAGAGAATTGAGAATGAATTATAGCCATTAGATCTTGGACTGTTTTGATTTTTCGGAGCTCTCTCATCAAGGGTAAATATGAAACTTCCGCATCACATTAAAGCTAACGGATTGCCTCCGTAACTGTCATTAAATGTTCTAATTAAATTACTATTCATTTGTTTGACCAGTCCAAACGAGTCTTTTTATCTCCACTTCGTTTTTTTAAAGAAAGACTACATTTTTTATCTCCACTTCCGTCCATTCAGATTTTGTTTACCTTTTCTTGATCATTTCCTCATTTTGTGTTTTACATACTATATATTTCTTATATTTTAGTTTTTTATGATATTTCGCTTTTGTCTTTTTCTCTACATATATCTTGTATTTGGTTTTTGTATTTCCATTCTATTTAATTTAATTTATCTATTTTTAGGACTTCTTTATGACTTTATGTATAGCAATAATGATGTAGGTCACGTTAATAAGAATTAATGTCATGTTTACTGAAAAGTGCACAACAACTCATATGTAAGTGCACAACATAATTCGGATTACTTTGATGCACTTTTTTTACATCAGTTCTACAAAGTGATTAAGTCATCGAATTAAGCGTAATCAGACACAAATTACTTTGATGCACTTATCATATCTTATTCATATATTTTTAGTTTTTTTTACAAATACATGTGAAACCAAAAGACAATGCCATACTCAGATAATTGTCATTAAAAGTGCATTAATGTGTGTGATATTATAGTGCACTTTTGCAAATTTTTAAAACATTCACGATAAAAATGCATTTCATTATGTACAAAAAAGTGTCAACGCGGAATTTTACAATGTATAATATAATAGTGATCCTTTATTGATATTAGAAATGCATATAATAGTTGTTTATTTACGCTCGCATACATATGTTTATTTTAATTTTTATTTAGAAATACGTGGAAGTGCACAACTACAAAGGCTAAAGTGCAGATAAATGACTTAAGTGTAGAGGTTAATATAATAAAAGTATTAATTATATCCTTTAGAAAAATCTCTTTAGTTTCTTCTGATCAATGAATTGTTGTTACTATTTATATTACTATTAGTGCAAATTAAATATTCATCATTTCTACCAAATTGGTTGTTGGTCGGAGAATGAAATTGCTTAACGTGAATAAAGTTTCGTAAATAAATATTTAATGGTGCCCACACGAATTGATGCATTTATCATTTTTAATGTCGAATAGTTTCATAATAGTTATCTATTAACTTCTAATAAGATTATAATGATAAATTTGTACTAAACTTTTAATGCACTTATCATACTTCATTCATGCACTTATCATCAGTTTTTTGTTTTATTTTTTTGCAGATAAAACTGACATTAGGAGACAGTATTATAATGGAAATCGACATGTTTTCAGAAGAAAAGTGCATTTCATTTTGTAAAAATCATCGATGTAAAATTTTAGAATAGTGTGATAACTAGTGCACTTTTATATATCTCATAATGCACATAATAAAAGTGCATTTTACTTCATAAAAAAATGTAGGTGTAGAATTTTAGAAAGCATTATAATTGATAGTTTACATTCTTATATATTTAATTAAATTCATGTTGCATATATTTTTAATAAAAGTGACGGTATTATACACTGGACTGCAAATCTTGTGATTATACTTGTGCATAGCATTTCAAATAAAAGTGCATTTGTACAAAATTATAATTCATACCTTTGACTTAATACACTTTAATATTTACGAGGACGTATTTATTCCACGAAAAAAATTATGTGATTAATACAAAACAAATAAACGTGGATTTTGAAATATGTATTTTGAAAAATAAAGTACGATTATGAAGGAGTTTCATTTTTATGAGTTACTTTTCCTAATTATTAGGTAACATCAAACAATAAGATCACATGTGCAAATAATAATTAAAAAAATTCAATGTCTAATAACTAGTTGTCCGAAATTTTAGGCATATTCAATTTACTATTCAAAATTAAAGTGAGATTTTAAGGAAAGGAATGTAGTGGTCCGTTATATTGATAAATGTGACCTTACCTCTTTTACATAAATACCCTTGTTATTAAATTCATTCACTCTTTCCTATTTTTCCTCCAAGGAAACCTTCTAGAGCATCCAAACTTTGCATTCCAAATCTCATTTTTAAGCCGCACGATTCAATTATTGGTTGGTTGGATTTTGTTCTCATTTCTCTCCTAAGAGAGTGTTTTCACTTGAACCTTCCCTAACATATATATATATATATATATATATATATATGTGTGTGTGTGTGTGTGTGTATGTGTGTGTGTGTGGAGCGGTTCTGGTGAGAAAGGACTCACATGAGAGAAATGAAAATAAAATCTAACCATATAATATACTTAATGGACGATTAAGATTTGATCAAAATGTTGATGGCAATGTGACATTCATGTAAATTACATATTTATTTCTGTGTTTTTTATTAGTTTTGATTGATTATTACTTTGGAAATTACACACTTTTGGTGTAATAGTTTAAGTTGTAAAAATGTTTGTAATTTGTTTAGATTAGGTTTATACTGAGCTCAAACTGGTCCAAAATCACTCTAGGGACCATTGGTGAACAACACAAATGGAAGGTGCAAAAATCTCAAGATTCTGATTTTTGGTGTTGTACCCGGTCGGGTATGACCTATACCCGATCGGGTACCTTGTTGAAAAATCAAATCGGATCGGATCCGGGAAGGGGCAACATGCAGGGGAGATTTTGGCACGATCGAGTGTTCATACCCGATCGGGTGGCCGACATACCCGATCAGGTATAACCCAGTTTTTTATACTTCCGCGAAGCAACCAAGTACCCGATCGAGTGCCCTTACAGCCCGATCGGGTACAAGACCCTGCAAGCCTAAAAAGCCTATAAATACCCCCTTTCCTTCCCACAAAGATCACCAATTCCTATATACTTCTAAGCTCAGTCTAGAATAGTTCTTTCTTTATATTTTCATCATGTTTAGTCTCCAGATGAGGAGCTAAACTCTTCCATCTTGGTTTTGCTACTTTGAAACTTAATGAATTTGTAAGTTGTGAGTTATTCTCTTTAATTTTCTTCCTTGAATATTAATTCTTCCTTTAAATACTATTTCTATATCAATGTTGGGGAGTGTTACTAAGATGACAATTAGTTAACATCTTGACATTAGTTATAGTAATAGTTATTTCTTCCTCTATATTAATATTGGGGAGTGTTACTAAGATGACAATTAGTTAACATCTTGATATTAACTATAGTAGGATTCATACTCTTTAATATTCTTCCTTGAGTATTAATTAATTCCTATTCATATTTCATATTAATATTTTGAACATTACTTAAAGGATCAATTAGTTTTCTTTCATATATTAATTATTTCTAGAATCAATCGATTAATACGCTTGTTATTAATTCGGTTCCTTCAACGGTAGTAAACTTGGATTGTTAATGCATGCATCTCATGATTAATAATCTAAGGGGAATTAATTATATTGATTAAACCAATAAACCGCTTGTGTTGAGGTTATCAATCTCAATCGTTTTCATCTCAAGTTTATTGCTACTATCGTGTGAATATATGGCGCGTGTTCTATATTAACTCGGTAGTAAGTTTTATTAATGAACGCGTCTCGTTATTAATAACTACCCTCGATGAACTGGATATACTCCTCGATTGAGTATTCGAGAGGAAGATAGTTAAAGATATAACCGGGATCGACGAACATTTCGTTAAGTGGATAAAAGCAAAACCAAGTCCTCATCTCTATAAATTAAACTCA